TGTTTTCCTCGATCTGCTTTGACGCTTCGTAGAATTCGTCTCAAGATTGTTATGTCTTTTCCCTGGTTGGTATGTTCGGAGGGCGCACTACTGTCACAATCACCAGGGGAAGAAAGCCAAGACTTGATGGTGGCCATAGACGACTCGTCACAGCCATCCGCTAGACTACGTACTAGTACTTGCGGGTGCCAGCCTAGAAGACAGAGAACAGCACTGCGGGCCAATAAAAAAACGTCGGCAAGATATTACATAATCTCTGCAGCAGCGCTCGGTGCCGCCAAGGAAAGTTTGCAGCCGTTGCATCCGGCACGTGCAAAGCTCGAGCTTGCTGCTACTAGCACTGTATCAATTCATCAATATGTACGATGCAGTGTTGGCCATAAACCTCTCCGACGCGCGCAGATACTCGCGTCGACCGACGGCGCTGGCGACGACTTGGCGCCGCTGCGGCGGATGGTGGAAGCACGCAAAGCGAACAAGAGGCGGACCCTGGCGGCGTGTGCGCATATAGTGACGGCTGTAGCTAGCGTGGAGGCGATGAGGCCCAAACAAAGCCGAGGACGTCGCAATGGGAGCTGCCTGCCCTACTTATAGACCCTCCTCTCCTCCATTCCCTCCCCCTCTCTTATCTTTCTTTTTTCTTTGCTCTCCCCTCATGACCCTCGCGCGCTCGCACATCCGCCGAAAGGCGCTCGCCGTCCTCGCCTCGGCCGCCTGCGCTTCTGCGGCCAACATCATCCCCACCCCCGGCCAACCGACAAAGTCTGGCGTTCCTGGCACGTTTGAAATCGTTGGCGAGTCCGGCGTCAGCGGTCAACAGATCTTCCTTGGTACCAACAACAAGGTTTGCTCTACGCCTAATCCACTCATGGTGCATTCGTCTCACCCCCCTGCCACTAGGTCTACGTTGTCGACAAGACCGAGGCCAATCCACTGCAAGTAGCTGGACATGCCGCATGGGCAACCGAGTACGACCTTACTACTAATGCCGTTCGCGCGATGGACGTCCTCTCCAACACTTTCTGCGCTGGTGGCAACGTCCTTGGTAATGGCACCTGGGTCAATCTTGGCGGCAACCAGGCTGTTATCACTGGGGGAAACACTGCCCCGAGTCAAACGGGCGGCGGCATTTACAACGATTGGGACGGTGGTAAAGCGTACGCTATCTTTCGTCTCCATGTCCCTTGCTACACCGCTGACGATACATATCCTTATAGTATTCGGTCCGTCTGCGTCATTGCTGACGATTAACGCCCACATAGCTAATAATAAATTCGCTCCAGCTTTCTCAACCCGAATAATGACGGAACTTCCAACTGGATTGATGATCCTAACATGTACATGACGACACGCCGCTGGTACCCAACACTGTTAGCTCCTCACCTCATGTCTACTGTCATGCTGTCTCGTATACTTACCATGTCCCACTCTCTCAAGTGAGGGCCTCCCGGATGGCAGCTTGATCATCGTAAGTATCATTATACATGCCATCCGCGCGCTCCACGCTGATAAGCTTTATCTATCGGACAGCTCGGTGGTGACATGTGGGGTGGATTCGTCAACGACGCCTCACAGAACAACCCGACATATGAGTTCTATCCATCCCGAGGACCAGTCCAGCCCCTGCTCATTCTCAACAACACGCTTCCCGCCAACCTATTCCCTCTCACATGGCTTCTTCCATCTGGCAACCTCCTCATCCAGACCGGCTGGGGAGCCGAGATCTTCAACCCAAATGTGATGCTAAATTCTTCAGTGAAATCATTTCAAGATCGCTAACGTGTGTGTGTTACATGCAGACCGGCGTCGAGACCACCATCGCCAACATTCCTCAGTAAGTCGTGCGGAAATTCGGTCATGTACTCTTTGCCGACCGACCTTTGGATTATCAGTGCTGTGCGAACATACCCCGCCTCCGGTGCAACGGCGATGCTTCCCCTTACTCCTGCCAACAACTGGACGGCGACCGTGGTTTTCTGTGGCGGTACAAATCTTCAGGATAATCAGTGGAATGGAACGGGGACTTTGTACGTACGGATCACCGCGCATTCTCGTATCCTGGCTAATCCCGTGTATTATTTTTAGCGACCTTGCATCGTTCGTACATTCGCATTATAGCAGTGTTGCATAACACTTCATTTACGCTGACATTACTAGATACCCCGCTGACAACTCTTGTGTGCGGATCACGCCCGATGTTTCCACCGCTTGGTCTGATGATGACTCGCTTCCCGAGGGTCGTTCCATGGGTAACATGATCGCCCTCCCCGATGCCACTTTCTTCATCCTTAACGGCGCCAACACCGGTGTTGCTGGGTATGGCGTTAACGTCTCTTGGGGTACGCTCGAATATCACGCTGGCACACTGACTAAATACTGACTCGTTGATGCAGCCATTGGAACTAGCTATGCCAATAATCCCGTCTATGCACCATTGGTGTACAACCCCGCTGCGCCAGCCGGCCAGCGCTTCAGCAGGGCTGGTCTGAGCAACTCGACTATTCCTCGCATGTACCACTCATCTGCAACCCTCCTCCCCGATGGCTCCATCTACAGCACCGGCTCCAACCCCAACCCTGACTACACCGTCGGCCCCACCGTCGTCTTCCCCACCGAGTATCGTGTCGAGCGCTTCTATCCGTGGTACTACAGCAAGACCCGCCCTCAGCCTGCAGGTCTCATTGACCAGCTATCGTACGGTGGCAACTACTTTAACGTAAACTTGACCTTGGCCGACCTTGCGGGCGATTACAACAATGTCAAGAATACCACTGTTGTTATCATCCGCACTGGGTTCTCGACGCATGCGATGAATATGGGTATGCGTTACGTGCAGCTGTAGGCATCTCTCTTTCATCTTTTTATTGGATATTCCTTCCTGACAACTTGTTACAGCGACAACTCGTACACCGTCTCGGACAAGGGAGATGTGACGCTCCATGTCAGCCAGCTGCCCTCGAACCCCGCCATTATCTCACCCGGCCCAGCAATGATCTTTGTCGTTGTAGCCGGTGTGCCATCCGTCGGACAGTTCGTCATGCTGGGGTCAGGCCAAATCGGCACGCAGCCCACTACCACACCCCAGACGCTGCCCGTCTCCTCGCTCCCTGTCAACCTCCCCTCGCCTGGCGGCAGTGGAAGCGGGAGCAATAGCAGCCATCACAACGGCGCTGCTTCTTCGCATGTCCGCTTCGGTGTTGCTACCATGGCGATGTCCGCAGCAGCAGCCGCCTTCGTTGCCCTGGCTTAAGGCGTAAGGTTTAGTCCAAACAAGCTCTTTCTATTTTTTGGTTCTCGATTCACTTCATCTTGGTTTTTTCAATGGACCTTCTCGATCCGCACTTCTCATAGTCCACTTCACTTAGCCGTTCGTTTAGACGCACTTTTTTTTCATGCACTTTTAGTCCCCTGATTAGTCTCGTCTTGTCCATGTCTCGTGCTGCCTTGGTCATAGCGTAGGTTAAGAACACTTGATCTCAATGGACTTGGACTCTGTCGCCATGTCTACGCCAGTCTCCATGTCGCTCTCGGCTCCTCGTCCCGCGGGAGTGACTCGAACTATCTTACTTTTACACCACACTTTACTTTTCTCTCACGCCGCCTTTTTATCACCTTTTCTCATGGACTGTATATGAGTTGATTTAGATTGACAGTGACAGCATTTTTTACCATCCTCCCTGCTGCTCGGATTCGGTCGGGGCTCGTGACTGTTGGTTTGTTGACGCTGACGATCGCGTCTCTGTTACGTCGCCCGGGTGTTAGCACCGCAGTACCTTTCAGGGGATATCTATGCTTGGCGAGAGCCTGTGATCGTTATCATAGCCCCGTGGCTGTCCCGCAACCTACTGCTTTGAATGCAGTGGCCTCACAGATCTGAGTTAGCGTCTCGTCGCGGAGATATGCCCCGAGAGCGGGCGATAAAATATCGCCGGTGGCTTGGCAGTGTTGGGAAACATTCATTGATATATTGATGCACTGCAGCCTCGAGAGTGATTGATGCAATATTGATAAGAGGCGTATGCGGTGGCATCAGTAATGTACGTACATGGTGCGCGTGTAGCTCCCGCATGCTTGACCAGTTGTCTGATTGTTATCGAATTGTCGGTACTTTTTGAAACTTCGTGTAATAAGTAGCTCCGAAGTCACTCGGGGATGCCAAGGTTGTCGATACAACCCCACCCTGTAGCCGCTGGAGCGCACAATGCGCAAGGTGTCAGATTCGGACAGCGTAGACTCCGCGCACGGGCATTCCGGAGTCGACGATCGACAGGCTGTTTGTCCAGAGCATCGACTTTCCGCACTTCCTGCTTCTTTCCCTGTGGTTAGTCGATCTTCCTTGGGAAGATCTTATCATGAAGCATGGCAGTCCAGCGGTGATACGGGATTAGGTGCATTCTGCCACGGTTAGTTCGGGTCGGCCTCGCCTCCTCGCCTCCTCGCAAAATCCCAAGGCTCGCGCGCCGGATTCCGTGCACCCTAGCCCCGACTCGTGCGTAAAGTACGTAAAATACGCACGGAGCATTTCCCTAGAGCTGAGCCGGGTCCGAGATAACAAAGCTTTCCTGCGAAAGTGCCACGTCCTTTTGTAAAGATTCCTGATTATTGTCCTGAGATTAAGTACTTGTTCGTTTCAGCGCTCGCGCTTAGAAGCCAAGTGCAGCAACAAAAAGGAAGGTTAAAAGTCGTGAAGCAGACCCTGTGTTGCAGGCTTTGTGCTGCATTGGCCCATAAGTAAGTGTCATGTGCTTTCATGCCGCGCCTTTTGTCCAGAGTTTGACCGTGGCAAAATTTTGCAGATGCGATTAGACAAAAAAAAACACGGGATTTGGGTAAGCGGAAAGACAGGGTAAGGGGCAGAGTTCGGCGGCGGGTGCACGAACCTGTGGCGTTGAGTAGCGACGTTACGTAAGGATGGAAAGCGTCACGGCGCGATTCGGCCCGGTCAAAAGGAGCTGCGAATGAGAGCCAAAATTGGTGGAGCTCCTCGAGCCAAAAAGACATGCCTTGAACCTGGATTGAACAGGTGACCTATGCATCTTCAGTGCAGCGCTCTCCCAGCTGAGCTATCAAGGCCGATAGAAAATGACGCTGTCTATTGCCTATCACGGCTGGCCTAAGGCCGCCTTTCTTTGTAAGTATGTTTGCTTCCGAGCCGTTGTTTGGGCCGTGATATCCTTGATGCTCCCACCGACGCGAGACAACTCCTCTCTTCCACCCGCGCCGACCTGCGAGCGTCCGCCAGCTGCTGCGACACCTGCCGTGCTACCAAACGCGATGGATATCCAAGTCGAATCGTTATCCAGGATCGAAATCCAGCAACTGTGCAAGGTCTGCTCGCGGTTGTTCGAGTGTCCACGCCTCGTTGCTCAAAAATTTTGTGGCTATCATCTTTCAGGACAATAACATCAAAGCCAACCTCAAAACAGATGCCCTCGTCCAGTTACTAAAGAAGCATATTGCCGCTGGGTCTGTACACCCGCATATTCTTCGTTTCCATGGTCATTGACATCATCTCTCGTTCGTAGTGGCTCACTGCAACGCGTCGCGTCAACCTCCACCAGCGCCACAACCACAAGAATGACCGCCACCAGTCGCGTCGCGTCGCGCACGCGCGCTGAAGGAACAGAGGAGAGTAAGATCCCCGTGCGCGTTGCGAGTCGTCGCCGGGAACAACCAGAGAGCGAAGCAGAGTCTGAAGTCTCTATACCAGATTCTCGCATGCGCAGCCGATCTGCATCTACTAGACTTCGCACTCCCGTGGACGGATCAGTCTCTGCTTCAGAGAAGGAGAATGCGAAGAACCCCCTGAAGCGCAAGGTGAAGGATACACAGAAACGACTTGGAGTTGGACGGCCCAAAACTGCAGGCGGTGATGGCCAAAGGAAAGTAACCCGCGCAGGCATCCCAAGCCGGCCCACAAGACAGACGCAGTCCCAAATTGGTAAGCCCAAGGTCGAAACAGTAGCGGAGGAAGTAGAACCTGGTGAGCATTTCACGCGTATATGCGCCTCAACATCTCTCTCATTCTCACATTGAAGATCAATCTCCACCGGTAGTATCCCCGCCCCACGAATCGCAAGAATCGTCCGGTGAGATACTGTCCAATCTTACCCATTCGGACGGCGGAGGCTTACCAAGCGCAGAGTCGACAATAGAGCCTATTTTACAAGAGTCCCAAGAGTCCGAACCACTTGCCTCAACATCTTCCCAATCCACCGATTCTCTCTCCACCCCAAACCCAGATAACTTGATCGTGCCTGAATCTCAAATCGCCCTCTTCCTTGACACCCGCGACACTATCCTCTCCAAACTCTCCGTTCACGAGAAAGATATTCTCTCCGTCAAAGATGATCTTGCTGTTCAGCGCGAGCGAACAGACGTATCGAAACAGAGCGTATTAGATCTTCAGCAAGAGCTAGAGGCTAGTCGAGTTGGGCTGGACGCTATGGAGGGTAGGCTCGCTGAGACCGAGAAGCGGAGCGTGGATCTAGCATCCAAGTTTGAGGAGATAGAACAACGCCTAACCGAGGAGCGAACAGAAAAGGAAGACCTGGAGAAGCAGCTGGCCGCTGAACGAGATCGAGTGAAGGGGCTGGAGGGATTATTGGAGGGATTATTAAGCCGAGTGGAGAAGTTGGAAGGCGATGGGATTCGTAGCGCGCTAAATCGCAATCTCACAGCGAAGGAGAATGTTGCCAGCGACGCCGATCCTTTCATTGCACGTACGCCAAAGTCTACTCTTTCTGCACTCCCTACCACACTTGGAAAGCGCTCGCGACATGACCGGGATGTACCGAACATCGCCGAGTCCGACAACCCAGTCCTCGACACGCCTGGATTGCATGGCCACAAGCGACTCAGGTTGACTGAGCTCGACGGCGATGCCCATCGTCACACCCCACGAACGCCACCACCACATTTCAACCCCTCCCAGCTTCACCAGCTCACGCGCACCGCACCCTCACTCTACCCCGAACAAGTTGTGTTCGACCCATTGGAAGATTTTGCTACATCCCCCCAGCCCCCGACGAGCACACCTATCTCCCCGTCTGAGCTGGCTCCCGCCCTCTCGATGCTGAGAAGACCCAAGTTTGAGGTTTTCAGCGACCAGGATCCCGCGCCAGGCAAAGGCAAAGGCAGGGCCCGCGCTGCCTTGCCCCACCAGGACCAGGCTCCGGTCACGACGCCGTATATTCCTGCGTACCCCGCGTTCACCCCACTCGACCAAAGCTTCCCGCAAGCTCAGTCCACTCCATCTGTTTCGACAGCGCAGACCACCCCCACCGGGTCGGAAGAGTGGGACAGCTCGATGGACGCGCCGCTCCCTAGTCCGGGAAAAGGGACGATGTACGGCACGGAGCTCTCGCGGTTCGAAGACCGATTCATCGACCCTGCTGATTTTGCTAGCTCCCTTTGGGACAACCAAATGCGATGGTGATATGCTCAGAGGGAATTTTGATTCAACTTTTATGCCTATCATCCATCGTTTTGTTCCATTCATCCATTTCTCGTTGTAGCGGCTAGCATTCCCAGAGAATCAACAACCTGCTTTTCTTTTTCCCATCCTCCTTTCTCCTTTCTAGTCTCATCTCTCGCCTCTCTTCACTTCCTTAGGATTTGTATGATTTCCCACTTGGTACTGTATGCCTATACTCTTCGACTAGTTACAAATGCTCCCTGTTTCTGCTTATGACTTTCATCGATTTGTCGTTAAATACAATACATTCGTCTCACTGCAGGCGAGCGTGCCTAGTTGCGCGGAGGAAGTGTTGGTAGGATCTCCACCGCTTCATGGCACTTGATGCACGATGAAGCACAACTCTGGGTATCACATATATAAACTCGGATGATTCTCAGAGATAAAAAATCACAGTATGTATAACGAAAAGAAAGCCCTTGCAGTTATCGAGAACAGAAACACAATGTTATACGTAGCCCTTTGGAATCCCAGCCAAATCCCAGCGCCAGGTGCGTCGACCACTTCTAGGTGGATGCAGATGCGGCCTTCTTGATGAGATCTGCAGCCCGTTCGGCGATGGCGACGACAACCGCACAAGGATGTCCAGACACCTGTGTCGGGAACACAGACGCGTCCACGACTCGGAGACCTTGGATGCCATGCACGCGCAGCTCCGGGTCGACAACGCTGTCGGTCTCGTCTGTTCCTATCCTTGCCGTCCCAATCTGTGAGGATCCGTCACAATCAGGTGGTTAGACTGCGTTCAAGTTCAGGAGGCGATTCGGGTGGTGCTTACGGGGTGATATATCGTGTAGGCGTTGCCGCGGATCCACTCCGCGAGAGCCTCGTCGGGGACCTGGTCGGGATCGGCGTCCCCGGGCCAGAACACGTCCGTGGTGTCCATGCTGTGGTCCTTGAGCTGCAAGTGGCTCTTCAGCGGCTCGCTGCGCGCGATACGCATAGCCAGGCGCATGCCCTTGACGAACACCTTCATGTCGTTCTCCACAGCGAAGTGGCTACACGTTCGCAAAGTCAGCAGTCAGCGCCAGTCAGAGGCCCCCCACAGGGCTCGGGAGACGAGATAGGTGTTTTGTTTTGTATGTTTGCTTACTTGGGGTCGATAATGGGCTTATCCCAGATGTTCGCGGTTCTCAGCGCGACGTGGCCGTGGCTCTGGGGTCGGAGCAGCGTTGGGGCAATAGTGAATGTGTCCGAGCCCGGAGGCGGGGGCACAGAGCCGTGGTCGATGAATGCGACTGGGACGCTGATCAGCTCGAGGTCAGGTGACTGCGGGCCGGAAGTCGTGTCCTCAACCTCGACTTCCTTGGCACCCTTGGCCTCCCATGCGATTCTGTGAATGTATTGATAAGCGTTTTAAGCGAAGGATTAGGAAGGGACGGGCAACGTACGACTTGTCATCTGAGCGGACGAATACAGCTGCTTCAGCAACCTGTAGATAGTCTATAAGTATCTCCGAGGATGACGAAGTCTAGAGAGCATGAAATGAATACGAACATTGCTCAAAAGCGGGCCTCTCCCAGTAATCAGCCATTGTATCAAGGGCATCAGCGAGCCGGTGGGGGTGCCACATGCATTAAGCGACTCTCCCTTCTTGGCTCTGAACCCGAACGCGGCATGAAGATGCTGTAAAAAAAGGGCACGCCAATCACATGGCCGAACGATTTCGACCGCATGTAGAACAACTCACGTCATACAGATTTTTCCCGACAGCAGGCAAGTCCTTCACCACAGGAATCGACAGCTTCTCAAGTTCATCCTTTGCGCCGATACCAGATACCAACAGAAGCTGTGGCGTTCCGATCGCACCGGTGGCAATGATGACTTCGCGGCGCGCCTTTACGTAGAATTTAGGTGAAGACTCGCTCTTGGCGACTTCCACGCCGATGACGCGGGTTGGATCCGCGGTGTCGAAGATGAGCTTGGTCACCCTTGTCTCGATCGCGATGGTGAGGTTTTGGCGGCGCCCTGCCTCGGTTTGGAGATAGGCGGTGTTGGTTGAGCTCCCTGAAGAGACGATGTAATCAGTGCAGGGAAGAAATGGGGATAGTTTGGGCGATACGCACGTTCGCCTTTTTGATCGATAATGGTTGAGAATTGGGAGACACCCAAGCAGCCCTTTGACGTGTTAAAATCGCTAAAAGCAAGCAAAATTATTAAGAAAAGGCGGTTGATAAGCAATGAATGGCTGCATACGGATTGTAAGGGATTCCGACCGTTTGGGCCGCCTCAATGAAGGCAGAAGTGGTAGGCTGCGAATATCAATCAGCTGTGAGCCACGCGATACCACGTCTGGGCAATCATTACGCTCACGCGAGGGGTGATGAAAGAAGTTTCCCAAAGCCCTTCTTGTCCTCGTTCCGCTACACTAACGTCAGAGTGACCTGGAGCAGGCGTAAATTTTTCTGATTTGCGGAAGTATCTTTTTGACAATTTAACCGCTGTGAGCGAGAAGCCGTGATATGACAAGCCCAGTACGTACGGTCGCAACGATTCGTAGCCCCAGCCCGTCGCGCCTTTCTGCTCCCACTCTTCAAAATCGCTAGGGCTGCAGTGCTGATATATTAGCCCGTTGAGAGAGCTGCACCCTAATCAG